TAATAAGACCTAGGGAAGGAGGACTGCGTAACAATATGGCAGACTTATAAACATTTCCAGAACAAGGGTGAAGGGGGTTAGAATGACAGCGTGGAGCGTGAAGGGTTTTGATGAATGCCGCTCAAAGGAGCACACCACACTACTTGGAAATAAGCACGGTAAAAGTGTAACAGTGAAGGTGTGATAGGAGGATATATGAAATGTGAATATCCCAGGGCAGAAGGGGAGATAACACAACTGTTTAGCACGGCTTCACTTGTCTCTTTGACGAGTTGTTGGGTGATGCTAAGAATGGCGAGACTCACTGACGATGCCGACTACGATCCCGGAGAAATGTCTGGGAATGTACCACGTCCACGGTCCGACTTTGGAAATGATCATGCATACAATGCACTCCGGACTAGGTGCGTTCCTCTAAGTCTTCCTACTAATATGACCAAGTTGCGAAAACAAGGTCAAACAGCATCTATACAACGAAAGAAGACTACGACCACACAAAAGGCCTCACCATCTTGGTCTTCGTACCTTACATCTTTCTGTTGATCTCCTATTAAAGGCATATGTGTTAGTATCATTGATATGAACTAGCATTTTTCTACATGATTTGACCTATCCATTAGTTCCAATGCTCTACCTTTGTTGGCTTTCAGAAAATTTGATTTTTGCGACATAAATATCCAGAAAGCCAACTTGGACACAAGATTGATTTTGCTTCATCATCTGTTCAAAATGAGGGATCACTTCCAACTCTTATTCTTCACTTCCTCAGACAATCTATCCGATAAGCTAATTAATTCAGCAAGTATGTCCAGACAATGGTTTATTTTATTTGGAAGAATATAATTCAATCCCCTTTTCAATAAAAGTTTCACTCTACTCCACAGTTATACTAGATAAATTGATTACCTTGTCCTTCCTAAATTTGTTAGGAACATGATTATTACAGAATTCCTCGACCTAATTCTGCATCCTAAGTTCCTCGGCTCTTTCCTATGAAACTGACTGGTCATTCTATCCGTGGTCTCTACTAAACCCTCAACCATATCCTGTGACTTAAAATCATTCACATATCTAATCCTGATTTTGTTTTTAATTAGTTCGTGTAGCCTGATATTGCTTTTCCTAAGCCTTTTTTTAACCTCTCTTCATCATTCACTTTAAAACCAAGTAAC